CCGCACGCGCGCGCCTCGCGGCAGCTGCGCTCGCTCTCCAGCAGCAGCTGCCGGCTGCGCTCCAGCTGCGCCAGCACCGGCGCCGGCGCCGAGTCCTGGGGGTCCGGGGGGGGGGGGGTCAGCTGGTTCCATTCTACTCTCTGTTCGATAGTCTTACAAAGGGCTTGTCGCGTCCGGAAAGCTTCTGGAAATGCCTGCTTGGGGGGAGGGGTGCTTTTCATAGGCGTCCTTTTGGGGGGAAATCGATGGATTCCCTTCCCTGGTAAATGAAAGAAAGCCAAGCTAAACCAGTGCACCCGTGCCATCTGACTGTGTCTAAGCAAACTCACCTAAAAAGGACACCTATGGTCCTTTTGTATGGGTGCCACACGTTGGGTTAACAGGCAAAACCAAAGGAAACACGCCCAGGTTCAAGCTGCCCGAGTTTGAGACAATCTTCAACCCTCGAGCGCATTTTCGGGTGAGATGCCGCGATCCTTGCTTGTCAAGCAGGCACAAAACACGGCATGGTCAACCGGGATAAGCTTTCTTATCTAAGGTGACCTCACCGAACAGGCCGCGGCGTACCTATTTTCCCTTCCGTGAGGTTGCAATTTGCTGTGCGCCTTACATGAAACTGCCACAGGTCCAACTGCCACTTTTGCAGAGCGAAAAAGTGCGGGACCGTCCAAAGCGACTTCCACCAGTCATTTCTCCTTGCTGCCCATGCGGTCCAAGCCGGCCTGCCGCAGCACCTGTCCGCCAAAAAACAAGACGCCCCTTCGGAATGCAGCAAGTGCTTCAGAACCCCAGGTAGGAAGTGTGCCAAGGGAAACGTGGATGAGCAAGCCCGACATTCGGCAAGATACCGGCAGCTCCTGAACCCTTCAGCATCCGAGGACTGGCGGGGTGTAACTCTCAGAGTCTCGAGCCCGGCACCTCAATGCGAATCCCGTTGCGAATCGCAGTCCCCATGAGTGCTGGGGCTGACCGAATGGCGGCGGTGTTCCCCGGCGAAAAACGAAAGAAGCTCGTCGCTTCCTTCTCAAGCCGGACCGAATAAGAGTGGTCTCCTCGGAAATAATTATAAACAAAACTCCGTCCAACTCATGCCCATGAACTTTTTTCTTGGGAACCACCTGAAAAGTGATTGGACATGTTCTCCCCCCCCCCAAGAAAAAGTCCGGCATTTCGGGCCCCTTCTGAAAAATCCGACCCATTTTTCCCCGGCCCATCGCCGGATCGCCGGCCTCCAACTTGGACTTGGCCTCCTCAGCCTCCAAGTCCGAGCGGCGCCAGGCCTGCTCCTGCCATGCCCTCCCCTCGCCTAACTGCGAAGCCCTGCGAAAAGCAGGGTTGTGGGGAAGGGAATCCACTTCTGTGATACAACAGAAAGGGCTTTTCAAAGACTAACCCCCCATATAAAGGGGGAGATTCCCGAAAGTATCAAAGAAGTGGGGAAAAACCCCTTGATCCCACAAGCCTGGCTAAAAGTGACGAACTGTTGGTGGTTTAATACGGCAAACCCATTAGATTTTGGCAAACAGCTTATGTCCTAACATCCGAGCGGCAAAATGAGCCAAGGTTCCGGCCGGCGTGTCCCACGGACTTCGGAGCTAGTTCGCTGCTTGGCGACTGGGTGTACCCACGTCTTTGCTGGGCCCCGCAGGTTCACTGTTCATGTCTAGTGGTCTTGCCAAAGTTGGCGAAATGGCGAAGGAAGTTTGACTGCTGTCCCCATTTGACAACATGCAGGAAATCGCAACATGGCTCCAAGGTTCCTTTTGGAGGCCCATTTGCTTCGCTCACATTGGGCTCCAAGATAATGCACATTCCACGCGCGGGGGAGGAAAATTCGGAAAGCAGGGCAACACTGTCACAACGGCATAACCGCGGAGAAACAAGGTTGCAGTTGCGACTCAAACCTTGGTAGGGTCATCCAACCCTGACCAAAGGTTCAAGACCAACATCGTGTCGGCAGCAAAGCACCACCAAGGACCAATTCTCATCACCAGAAGCTGTTGATTTGCTCAGGTTGGAACCTCCGCAAGTTGAGAACCTGCCAGTCAAGAGTTGGAGTCCCTTTTCCAGGGCTCGTTTTTGGATGAGACTCGTCTTTTGAAGCTGCGACATCCATGGGAAATGCGCCCACTCGCCCGCCCCCCTGCCCCCGCCGTACGCAGCAGGAAGCGCATGGCCGTCTCGTGGTACCCGTGGATGAGCCGGTGCATCTCCTAGGTCGCACGGCGCGAAACCTAGTTGTCGGCATCCAAGGTAGGGTGGGGCTACCCATTGGTTTAAACGTGGTTAAACCATTGGTTCTGATGATGAAATCTTGTGAAGGTGGTGTTTAAGCCATACTTTGCCCCACCCTGATCCAAGGGACATGGGGGAAAACAAAAGGACGCTCGATTGGCTCAGCCAGTGGTAATGAGCCACCCAGAAAATCGGGCAAAAGCCAGGTTGTGTCAGACGCAAGACTCCTGGATAAACAAGTTTCTCGCAAGGATAGCACCCTCGCCGCTCCCAACATGGGAAGTATAGCCTGTTTAACAAAACGTCCTGGTCCGCTGCTCACACAGGAAAGCTGTTCCAATGCATTTGAGGATCTCTTGACCCAAAGGAAACTCAGAGTGAAGTGTCCTAAAAGGTGCTGGTTGAAGCAAAATGGCAAACTCTCGGCCCCTGCAGCTCTCAGATCAACTAGCCAAACCATGCAGTCCAGTCGGATGCGGCTGGCATCCAACCACACAACCCCATGACCAGCCAGCAACCTCTTTTCTTGCCTGACACCTTTCCAGCCAATACGTAAAACGAAACGCAGTTGCCACCTCACCAGAACCAAACCAGTCCTCCACTCCCGCCTTGCCCCCTTTTTAGAGTTCTCAAAGCCAGGGCTCACTTCCCTAAAACCTACGGGAACCTATCCGAGCAAAAAAAATAACAGAGGAAAACGACAAGATGTCGCATGGCTGTTGCCCTTCAAAACTCCACACTCTGGAAGACACTAAGCCCAGGTGGTATCCCCCGCACCGGACCCCCTGCAACCCTCCTTTTGAACCCTCCCTGAAGACTGCCCCAAACCAATCAGAGATCGCCGATTTCTGGGCAAAGACACATCCCACAATCGCTTTCAGCTGGGGCGGGGGCACAAAATCTTTACAGCGGCGCTTGCACGGCTCAGGCGCCATGCGCTGATTCCCCAGCAGCGTCTCCATGGATTGGAAGGACCCCGAGGGCGCCGCCTCCTGCGCCGCTGGACGCAGGTCCTTCAGCTTCGACTGGAAGTCCTCGGTCCGTGGATGTTTTTTTTTCTTCTCAGCGGACAGACGGATGTGGCGCTGCGGCGCGCTTCACCCTGTTTTGTGCCAACTTCTTGGAAAATAGAAGGAAACCAAGGACAAACCCAGCTTGGGCCAATTTGTTTCGACCCTTGATATTACTCCCATTTTCACTTTATTGATAGGGGGGCTCATGAGAGCCCAGATACAGATACGGTGGGACAGGTCCATGAAGGAGAGGTTGATCGGATTGAGGGTCCGCTGTAAAGTCCAGTTCTGGCTGAAAGAAAATTCAGCTTGAACAAGGCATGCGAGGATGGCTTGCGGGGGTCTATCAAAATAAGCTCTGGCCCTTGAAAGACCCATTTCGGAGATATTCTACGTCAGCCTTCAATGGGCGTTTCCAGGGAAACAAACTGGTTTTTGGCATTGCTTGCAAAAGGCTTTGCTCAAAGGACGCGGTGCAGCAAGGGACCGACTTTGGCTGATTTAAGACACCATCAGTTCCTGGCGTAGCAGAGAAGCTTAACCCGGTACTGGCTTCATGATATCTCTGAAGAGTCGGTTGTGGGAGGCGTCAAAGGACTGAAATCAGAAACCTGGCCCTTGTGTCTAGTTTGGCCCAGCGCATGGGAGACAAGCGGCATCCTTGTCAACGAAGGCGCTGTCTCCCTGCCGCACCTGACGTCAGTCGTCAGAAACTCCGTCTTGATTGAGAATCTTGCAACCAACACACGCGGTGTTTGATGCACGGACTCCTTTCTGGAGCCTTCCTCTTGGATGAGCGCGTCGCTGAGCCCTTTCATGTTTATTTGTAAGGGAAAATAAGTTTGCTGCCAAGCATGAATGTCGCGTTAAACCAGGATTGTCAGCTTTTTCGGATACCTCTCAACCGGTTGCCACGTCCAAGCATGCATCTAAGGACAGAAGCGGCGCGGGCAAAACTTTGGAGGTTGCGGGGCCAAGTTTGCCACTATCCAGGGCACCGCACCTGGAAAACCGCCGTCCACTTCTCCGTCCGTTTAGACCCCCGGCCTCCCAACTTCCCAACCTCCCAACTCAAACTCCGCCCGCCTTGTAGCCATCCCGCCGCTTCAGAGCCATCAGTCCGCCCCGCCGGCTCTGACGGCGTCGGGCGCCGAGCCCCGGCCTTTGAGGTGCTAACGCCTGCATTGCCGCGACCTGCCCCCTGCTCGGGGCTAAGACACGTCGCCCTTGTCAGAAGGAAGACCACCGAAGAAATCTGTTTTTGGTGCCACATCTTGCTTGTTCCAACTCGAGGCTCCAAACAGCCACTTGCTACGGCGCAATCTTCCGCGTCCTCCCACATTCCGAGGAATCCCGGTCTTTAACGAAGAAGCCCGAAATGAGTGGCATCCCGGAAGTCTACAAGAGCCACTGGAGCAATGAGCCACACAAAAGGCATTGCCCGCCTGCGCGCCAAGCTGGGGGGGGTCTTCAGCGAATCAAAGGTAGGAAATGAAACACAAGAGCAACGGAAAGCCTGTACTGACGGGGAATGGCCCCTAACTCCCCAGGATCCATGTTTTATGTTCTGGTCTCACCTGGAAACTTCCGCAAAGTCGCCGCCAAAAAAGAGCCTGGCGCAAAATGACAGTTGGGGCCAAAACCCACAAAAATGCAAAAAAACACCCAAAAAAAAAAAAAAAAAAAAACGATTATTCAACTACTTCTGGCTGCCCAAGTCACTCCAATTCGGCCCGTTCGTTCACAGCGGGCCTTGGCATCCTTCTCCAGCATCTTGCTGATCGTGAAGACTGGATCGTCCAGGCCGATGTGATCGGTGCCGCCATCCTCTCGCATTGGATATGGCCACATCTTCGCATCGTATGTATCGTTCGATACCTGTGTATCATGTGCATGTGATGTGTATATATATATATATGTGTACATACAAATGCCTGCATGCATGCATGCATCACGTAATGTGAATGCTTTGCTGTATGAAACTGGCAATGATCCTTCAATCCCACAAACAAATTATACCAACCACAAAGTGTGGAAAGTTGTGGTGCTTCCCTCGTCCTGCAATATATATAGATATACACATATATACATATAAGGGAAATGCGACTTAGCATGGCTTGCAGTTGGCGTACGGGTTTCCACCGAAACCTTGGGCTCCCTTAAAGGGCAAAGGCCACTGAATACTCGAACAGCCGGGTGCGGGGAAGCTCCTTATATGTTGCTGTTGTTGCTGCTGTTGTTCCCAATGTAGGAACGCGGTGTCCTTCAGTTTCCAAACACCCGTTTCTCTTTGGCCTCTAGCGGAGCAGAAATGTAGGTGTCGAATCATGTGATCATCTGACAAGCCTGTGGCTTCCTCATAGAGAGCACACGAAGTGTGTCAAACGCACTACCTGAAGTAACCTCTCACTCCCTCTCTTTTGGTTGTCCTGCAAACAAATACCGCTTTGGCGCTCGTTAAGCGCGTCAAGCCACAGCAAACAGCGATGAGATCTCGGTGCAAATCAACCACGCCAAGACGAATTCTATCTCTCCCCTTCTCGAGTTAATATGTTGTGCGTTTGGGTTTCTCACCAGTGTCCTTTCCACCGCGATCCTGCAGTTCCTGAACAGAAAACATGCGCGTTTCATCCGCCTGGGTTCGCAGCGCGAGTGGTTAGGCGATTCTAGGCCCATAGCAACATTGCCGGTCAAGGACAACATGGCATCAAATCAATAGACGACAGCAGCACGACAACACACGATCACAGTTTTCAGAATTTGCTAGACCTGCCTGATGCAACAAAAGGGTTTCCTGAGACTGGATTCCAGCTCGAATGCAAAAAAACAATCGCGTCCCATCTCCACCTCCCCCTTTTTGCACCCGAACCCCGTCCCGGATCGCTACACATCGCCTCGCGCTGGCTGAAACCAGCGGTTTCTCCGTAAAGTGACTTCTCAGTCCCCAAATGCAACGCTTAGTGGCTGAAACCGGGCAAAACAAAACCAAAGCTGCCAGCCCCATTACAAAGTGGAGGAGGAGCGAAGCCCACCTGCCAAGGATCTGACACATAGCGCTTTTGAGCTGAGTTGGTGGGGACCTGGAGTTTGGAGGGGTCTCTTCTTGGGAGACTCCTTTTGAGGCATGTTGATATGTGAGGACTCGATTCTGTGCCGTTGAATCTCTGCACTGAACGAATCACTGCCATGGCCTGATTTGTTTCATCCTGTTCACTGGAGCTGCACGGAAAGGTCAAACGCAAAATATGCGCAACTGACAAGAGTCCCGTTCACGTGACTGAAGTGCTGAGGGGTGGCACTTGCTCAAAGCAAACCAGCGGCATCAGTCTGCCTCGCAATGACTTAGCCGTATCGGCCAGTCCATGAAATCACACGGCCATTGTGCCCCGATTGCGCACGCCGCTTGGCACTCCCAAGCTCCACCTTTCGGCCACGGATCCCAAATCAAGTCGCGGACGCCCCCGCACGACCGCTTCGCTGCTTCGCTGCGCGCGCTGGGAGGCTCTGCTCATAAACCCGGGGCACTGGTCAGACAGGGTTGCCTGGGGCCGCTGGGTCTCAGCTGCCCCGTAGACCTTTGGGTGCTTCTGACCCCCCCAAAAAAAAAAAAAAAGTGTGCGAGTCTTTTGCTATTGCCCGCTCCGGAACATGGCCAATGGAGGCGACAGCTTTGGCCCCCCGCCAAGCATAGATCAGGATCGCCAGACCTGGACAGCAGCCCCACAGTCCCACCTTGAAAACCCCAAAAGGCAAATCCAGCCGTCGGCAAGAGAGCAATGCTGGCTTCACCATCTTCACCAGAAGTCATGCGGATATCAGAATAAGGGTACGCCACCAACACCTCTCTACCGCGGACAAAGAGGAGCATCCGGACCCTTGTTTCTGCAAGTCAGTCTCTGGCAAGACCCTCAAGCGCTAGCATAATATGCCGGGGCCGTTGAGATGACGCTGAATCAAGGGGAGACAGCTAGAGACTGCATCTTGCACTCGAGATGTTTGTTGCTCTGTGGGTTGGCAAACACATTGAAACAAATAGAAGGGGGGGCGAGGAGACGTCTGCCATGACGTGGTTGAAGTTCTCCCTGAATATGCTTGAAGTTCGCCCGATGGTCAGTCTCAGCGAGGTGCATGGGTCAACCAGAAAGGGATTCCCCGTTCTCGAACACACTCTAAGTTCGCCAGCATGGCAACGTGAAGTATTGGCTAGCCTCGATGGACGCAAGGATACACAACTCGGTCTTGTTTCGTTGTGCGGCGAGCGGCTCACATGCGCGCGCGCGCCCAAAAGCCCTGCCGCCTGCTGATGATCCGCACTTCTGACAACGGATTCTTCCAAACAGAACGGATCAGAAGCACCAAGTTCTCCGAAGGACCCCGTTGTCAGACCTACAAACGGATTCTTTCCTGACAACGGGGAGGTGTGTTTGGTTTGGGCGAGGCCAATCACGGTGCATAACCGAGGCCTCGGCGCCACGCCATTGGCCTGGCGGCGCGAGGCCAAATGTGATACGAGGCCGGTGACCGTTTTCCCTTGAGGCGGGCGCGCCTGTGAGTCGCGAAGTTGCTTCCGGTTGCTCAATACATCGTTCATGGGTCACCCTATTTTTTATTTTTTTATTTGTTGTTTGCTTGAATGTGTACCCGGCAGAAGAAGGAATTTTGTGGCTGGGTTGGGAAGGAGGCTGAAGTGGTTCTTGCCCATGTTGTGAGACTGCTGCGCCCATACACAGCTTGGATGATATTTGAGGAACGCAACTGCCCAAACAGGGCGTGCGTTCGTGTCAAAACCAGAAACCCCGATCCCATGCTGTTGTTTTCAAACACGAACTCAACAGGATCTCGATCCGTCTTCACGCACTTCTGTTTGCAAATTTCCGGTAGAAGACGCCAACGTTCTGCACAACCTCGACCTGATGCACGGCATTTCATGCCATCGTCGCTTGAGGTAGAAGGTGGCCACGTCCGCAGCGTGGCTTGCTGTCCGGGGATAAGCATCAACATGGCGCACAGGTTCGAAACGGATGCTTCGAATACTTTGTTCACATCAACCTACATTTTTTTGAATGACTACAGCTAGAGAAGAAAACAACCTTAAGAAGAATCAAAGATCGAATTGCCTGGCGCATTGTGAAGACTCCTTTGCTCACGTCAAACCGTTGAAAACCTTGACCAACAAAACGGGTCTTGCATGTTTCATGTGCTTGGCCCAGCACCATGTTCAAGCATCCTGATACGGTACTATGCAAGCTTGGTTGAGTCTGTCCTGCACGCCTCTGAATGACATCAGAACAAAAAAAATGCGCAGACTATCCAACAAAGCCCAGACCAACCTGAAAGTCGCAGTGCACATAAAATGTAGCCTGGCCTGCCGTGCTGATCTGAACATCAGTACCCATAAATTCCCGATTAGCGCCTACAAGCACACCAAACACTTCACGAGCGCAAGCCCCCGACAGCCCAACGGCCTGATCGAAGATCAGCCCATGGCGCGAGAGAAAGAGATGGGCAAACTACGGAACATCATTTGAGCTGCAAATGAATCCGGGCCGCAGCAACGGGACCCGATCCTCGAATCCGACTTGAAGCTTTCCGGGGGTCGGGGGTCCAGCCTCCCGTTGGTGGCAACGGGAGATGGTGGGACTGCGTCGAGTGGAGCAAACATCTCTAAAGAGTAAGAGAATCAAATACAAAGGCTAGGAGTCACGCCGGGCGATTTGTTTAACTAGCATGGAGGTGATCATCCTGCGCTCGATGACGTGAACAACCTGGAACAGCCCCTGCTTGCAGAATCTGGAGTCTGGCAAAGTTCGACGGTAATGCAAAAACCGGGCCCTCTCAAAGGTTGTTTGGCGCATTTGAACTATTGAGCCGAGCTTGCATCTTTGAATGGGAAGTGCTTGATTCTGACGACAAACATGAACCTCGGTCGGGTTGGGCTCATTATGCTGATGCAACGCTTGTCGGACAGGCATTTGCAGGAAATGACAACAGACAGCTTGAAATGCATGAAACAACGCAGTAGTTGCAGCCAGATATCGCGACGGGAAAGGAAACGGGCGACAGCTTTGCGCCCTTTTGGGCTTTGCGCAGTGGCAAGCAAAGAGCCCCTTGTTGACGCATGCTCCAGAGACGGCAAGTGTCGTTCTTGGAGGAATCACTTCTGTCGGTGTTGCTTCGTTGTCCTCTCGAGCGCCGAGAGCACGCATAGGACCTGGATTGCATCATTGGACGCTGGCACTGCTCGAAGGTGGAGGTATAAAGCTTACAAATTTGCACGTGCGCATGCGCCATCAAACAGCGTGCAGGTACACTCCTTGTGCTTGCAAGCGCGCACAGTTTGTTGGTGGCTAGGGCACCGGAGGCGGTGCTGCAGCAATGCTTCCTTCAAGAGCCGGATCAAACCCCTCAGTTCTTTCAAGCGGCTACTGCGCAAACAGATCGCTTCGTGGCGACGCTTGCGTTGCTAACTTGCAAACACTGCAGGAAGAGCCCGAAATGTCCCAAACAGCTTGCCTGCAACTTTCAGACAGAGCTTGGGCGGAACTAGCGCAAATATCCTGGACAGCGACGCATCGCAATGGGAAATCCGTTTCTGAAACCGGGACCTTCCCCCTTCCCAGTTCTCTGAAGCTTTGCTGGGCCAAACTGCGAAAACCTCACTCGACTGACGTTTACTTGGCGGACCTCTGGAGCAATTGGATCCGACGCCATCCCGGCGGAACTCTTGAGGAACTTCAAACCCCCAAAAAAAGTCAGCCTTATGTTGGCCAATTGTTTCTATACCAGTTTGGAGGAAAACACCCAATCCGCAAAGACGTCAGCGCCAGGCGGGCCAGGCAGTCAGCTGTTTTCTGGTCGGTCGGGGAGCTCAGCGAAGGCTTGACCCTCGAGAGCCGGTTTCACCCTGCGAGGCTCGCGTCAGATTGGACCCTGGCCCCCAAGAAACACGGCCCTTTGAACCTTTGGACCTTCCGCCAGTGCGAAATGAATTGCATGGACCCCGTAGAAGACAGCCCGCATATCCGCGGCTTCTGGCGTCTCTCTCTCTCTCTAAAAATATCTGAGGCGGCCTGCCAGAGTCAGGTTCCTTTGGCCCTTTTCGTTTCTGAGGGCATGGGCCTTGAAAAGGGGGCCTAACAGCGCGGACCTCCCCCTCGCGCTTCACCCAAAGAGAGAGCCCATTCGGGCATCACCTCTCAGCCTTGCCAGCGGTCGCGGCGCTGGCCAACTTCGCAGGCCTCATTCCGAAAGGCGCAGGCGTGAGTGGCGTTTCTTGATACGATAAATTTCGAGAATACTAGCATTCTATAATGGGTATGTGTGTGTGGTGTGTTTTCTTTCTTTTTGTTTACGAGAGATTTTGAGAATTGTCATGTTCTGATTTGTACAAAAAGTATCATACTGATTCAAGCATGCCAATATCCACCTTTCGAATAATCTAACATCCATAGAATACCGTAAATCGGTAACAAGCTTCCTACCCTCCTTGCGTGGTTCCGTTTGCTTCTTTGCGGCTTCCCTTTGGAGAAAACAAACAAAATAGGCGGAATGTTCACATGCATCAAACATGCAAGCCCACCATGCGCAACGGAGCAGTCTAAAAAAAATAGGGGGAGAAAAAAAAACTCAGACAGAGCTGGACAGCAGCTGGTTTTGCAGAAACTGGCACTTGAGGAACCCAAAGGAAAACCAAAGCCCATGTTGGTTCCCGATTTGAGAGGCAAGAGTCCCTGCCTGGGAGACATTCCCGTGAGAAACAAGGAAACCTCGCATTGGACTGAGAGCAATTCATCTTTGTTGATATGCAAAGTTTCAGATATCAAACGTACGTCCAAGCGCAAATCATGAACCTTATCAAAGTTTGGGCAGATGCTCTCACTCGGCTGCTCTCGAAGCACCTTCATGGCTAACCCAACTAACTTTTACTCATGGACACACCGGCGGACCACAAAACGAAGCTCAGGAGGTCAGGTGTGGCGATCACAAACATTCGGAAGCCCACATGGTGTGCATGTGTGTGCGCGTGAGCCTTTGCTTTGGCATGAACCTCATACATATCACAAATTTGCGGAGGATCCGCTCCTGCCGGCAAGGGGCTTTCGTGGATGCCTCGAACTCCAAACCGTAAACCGGAGTTCAAAGCAGAATCTCCCTGATATCCCAACATGGGGCATCCGAAGGGAAACCTTCCTGTCCCTCGCTAGTCTCTTCCGCTAGGTCAGCCTTGTCAGCCTTCGGCCATAAACCAGCTTTCAGGCCTTCAACAAGTCCAATGCGTCGATTTTCTCCAGCTCCCATGATGCTAAACCTCCAACAGAGTACTGACGAAAGAAAACCTGCTCGCAGGTCGAAAGCATGGTTGAAACCATTGCTTGCTGGTATTTACAGTGGAACCATTGCATTGCAGAATAGTTCCGCATGGATTTCGTCATGGATTTCTGCTGGTACAGGGGAACCATTGCAGAAAAGTTCCGCATGGTGGATTTCGTGTCATGTGGAATTCGTCCACGGCAGGTCTAAACCTGCAACTAAACCTTAGGTGCATGACAAAAAACAAAATCCAATGGGCGAGAGCGCCACGTTTTTTGACACCCGGAAAAAAAATGATCGTTGCAGAGGTTCCGGGGAAACTCCCCGGATGCATCTGGAGACCAGCATAAACCAGCTCTTGAGAGAGATCATCAGATTTCACACGCAGTCACGCTGTGTGTCAAAAGCAAACACCCCCTTCTCGCTGCAAGCTCCATCTCAAAGGGCACCGACGTGGAACCAGCAAAAATGGGACAGGCTCCCATTCTTAACATTAAAATGTGACCCTGGGAGTCGGAGTTCGGGGCGCTGGGGAGTGGTGACACTTGAGAGATGCATGAAGTTTGCCCTCATTTTTTGTTGCAAAAGTCATAGAGGGCAGAGGCCAATTTGTGACTGCCAGGGTCATGAAAAAATGAATGTGAATGGCAATCGCTCCCACCTCCAGCACGTGATTTGTGCCACTTTCCCACCTTGGATAAGGACAGCACACATGACACATACCTCCCGAGCAAGCACCAAGCACAACACACACGACGTTCTGACCTCCTGTTGGGCGATTTCAAAGCTCAGAGTGCAATTCGGATCAGACCATGTGGCCGTGTCTCAGAAATCAACGGCTCGATTCATCGTGCGTGAGTTTGCTTTACCTCAGGTGCACTCGCAAAGGTGCCTCCGTGGTTGGAGTGCTTGTTGAAAAGTCATGTAAGACTGATAGGGAGTCAGGAGAACACTAACACACACCTATATGTGTATATATATATAGCACATGCCACAAAGCAGCCCTGAATCAGAAATTGACACAATTCCGCGAAACTCTAGTCTCCAAATCCTTTCCCGGCTTCCAGGCTCAAAATCTGTGGTCGCAAAAGTATGCACTCTGTAAGTGCTTTCTGGCTTGAGGCAGCACACAGGGGGGGGACTTGATCCAGAGCAAATGTTGCATCGAGGTCGGATCGGAAACTCACTGTTTCTGCTTGTGCTACAGCATTTTGGGCTCCTCTTTGTTTTGGGCTGGGTTGGGCTCTGAGGTGGGCGTTAGCAGCAATTGCTTCTTTTCCCCAGATTCCCCAGAGTCGCAAGCAGCTGCGCAAAAACATCTACAAAGTCATTGTTGGGGGTGTGCAACTTTGCCTCTGCGCCCTTGAAATGCCACAAAGGTGTTCCCCGGTTTCCCGTGTCCCACTTGTTTTTGCTTAAAATGCTCAGAGGATGGTGTGCGTGGGAAGACATAATCGCATGGTGTGTCATTCCACTTCGGAAGCTTTCTGTGGCCTGTGCTTTCTCCTGAGCCTCGGCTCTCGGCTGGCGCAACGAGCTCATTGGAAACCTTCACCAAGTTAAATCATGTTCTCATGCCCCAAATGTAGTGACACTGTGTTTGCCGTCGACATGGAAGTATAGAAGCTACACACACACACACACACGTGGCATTGAATGTGTTCCATTGACCTGAGACCTTACAAACGAGGCGTTTTACACGATTTTCACCTCGATTCATCAATCCGCATTTCGAGAATTGGTATCTGTTTAGCGGTTGGTTCTTTTCTTCAAGTGGTTTACATCCCGCAATTAGAAACTCCGGGCTTTGATCTCAGGATTGAGAAGCGAACAGTTCAAGCTTCCGGGCTGAAAGGGGATTACCTTGTTTAGTTCGGTCACAGTCGGACAATGTTCGGGTACAAGAACGTATGTAAGGGCCTCACCTTCTTTCATTGGCCAATTTTTTGTGGGACGTACTGAATTTCAGAAATGGCGGATGAAGAACACTGCTCCAAACCTTGCACCGCCTTCACATCCTGCCCTTTCCCCCCATCCAGCCCTAGTTTCGTGCAGCCGGGACACGTCACGCGGTCCTAAGACTCCAGAAGCCAAGCGGACAGAAGTGGGGTCTTCAAATGGACGCCCTCAAGAGAAGGATTGCAAAAACAAATTCGGAGGGCGTCTTCCCCCGCATATTTACAAACACCTGTTTCTAAGGCAAAGACCCGGCTTCAAGGGAGTCGCTCACAGGGATATTTGAATGAAACCTGAAGACTGTGGATGCGCCTCCATGCTTCTCGGCTTTACACAAGATGGGGAACGCCTGTCTCAATCGCCATTCTCCGGAAAGCCTCATCTCAGCATCGTGGAACGATGATATGGGTATGGGTCAAAATCAAACCACCAGGGGACCGCAGGTTTTAGTCCTTGGTTCCATTTACCAGAGTTCCATTTTGGGCACCCATTTTTGACCCACAGCCACATTCTCCGAACAGACCAGTAGAAACAGCTGCCAATCTGGGACTGACATGGCCATGGGTCAAAATCCGAATCGTACCCCCAGTCCCAGTCCCCACCTAAAATAGGTTCTAAAATGGGTGGTGAATTCACCTACCAACCAAAATGGGATCCCATAACGGTTTTGACACACCCACAGCCACATCTCTTGAGATTGACCACAAAGTACGTGCAGTATCTCAGCATCCAGGTGAACAAGTAGAGTCTCCAGCTACGAACAGACCTCCCGAAGCCAAGCGTCGCCCTGCGCGACGATGTACTTGTATTCGACGGCCTTGGCTCTCTGAAAACGAAACGAGGTCTTCCACATGTTTACCAAAAACCTGGGTGATTCTCAAATTCAGAGTAGGGATGACCAATCCCATCAGGACAGTTCCTTGAAACTTGGCAGTGGATCTGAAGCTTCTCAAACGTTCCCACTGCCTGGTGCTCAAAGGCCTCCAAATGATACGCTCAAACTGACATGAAACCTGGAGGCCGTCAGGAGGAGACCTGCAATAGTTGCTGTGGATTGTCAATACTGTCACTGCACATGGCGCGGGGGGGTTAATAGAAATTGTGTTTCATCATTTTTTGGCTGGGGACTAAAGACTACAGGACTACAGGAAGACTACAGCAGGGTGTGGGGGGGGGCAGTATTGCTATGCTTGAAATAATGACATGAGAAGGGAGTGCACTAATATGATTTTCAAAATGCTGGAAATTGCATGTCATTCTGTTCGGGCCAGGGAGGAGTGAGAGGCGCGTTGTGATTCTTTCCAAAGTAATCCAATGGGTGGAAGGCCAGTGAAACCTTGGCCGAATGCAGGACACCGAGTGCCCCCGAAGTGCCCCCAAGCGCGGCCAGGCTGCGCCCCTCTCCTTTGGAATGGACACCTCGGCGCGGCAGTGTGGCGGGGGGTTAAAAAACTCAAGACCGGAGGTCCCTTCGTGAACCTGACAGGGGCCCTCAAAAGGCCATGTCACCAAAAAAAAGAGAGAGAGAGAGAGAAAAAAAAAAACTTGCCTACGAAGGCGCCTCATGCTACAAACCTTCTTTCGGCCTCCGGACGGAGTTCTCCCCCAAAGCCCTCCAGCCGAGCACCCCCCCCCCACCGCCCCCCACCTTGGCGGTCCAAACGTTGCCTTCCGTCCAGCCCATGGGGACCTGCGAAGGCTTTGGAGCCAAGCGATTCGGGCGACGTTCGCCCCGGAGTCCGACCACTTTTTTTCAGGGGAACCCCGCGGTATTGCAACACTGGGTTTGATTCACATGTGGTCAGCATTAAACCCAAAAACACCCGCATATGCATCCACAAGGGTTTATTGATCCCGGGTTGACATTGTTGGGAAAGGACATCCTTCGAGACGTGAAACAGTCAACGTCGAGCGAAATTCTGCGCGAAAGTCACTCGGAATTTCACACAAACCCAAGAAGAGATCCTTTCTTGCATCCAGAATCAAACAGAAGGAACCAGAAAGGGTCCATGTCATTCAGGTTTCCTTTGGTAGGTCCTCGGGTTATGCTCGCGAGAACCAAGCCTTTGCAAGCTCAACTGCCTTGCGGTGTTTTGTTCAAATACCACCGGTAGGACGAGAAGGGCACCTGTGCCTAGGGATAGCTGGCTGGCATGCTTCATATTATGAAATGCTCAACACCAAAACGTTGATGAAGCAATCGGGTCTCAAGCCAGTGTCACAGGGGCATGTGTGGCGCTCCATTGAAGAAGCAACCCACATCAATCCGTTGCCAGGACACAAATGTGAGTATATTTGCAGCATGTTTGTCCAGTGGCCGGAGGACTTCAAAGCTCGCAGGCCCTCAGAAAATCCGACACCTCTTTGAACGATCTCTACAGGGAGTCAGCCCTGAGTTCCCCACATCGCCGGAACCACGTTCCATTTCTCTACCGTGCAAGGGGGCCTGAACCTGAGCACCTTCCGAGAGGATCTGTGGTTTACCCTGCCTGCTTGACTGATTCTCCCAAGATCTGGGACCCCTTTTGGCTGGTGTTCCAAAGAAAGCCAAAGGGAAACGCAGCAGCTTCTGGTGGCTCCCTTTTGAGGAAAACGTCCGACTGAGCATGCCCAACTCAGAAACTAAGGGTGGTCGGAAACCAACCCATGTCTGCAAATTTCAGCACACCGGGCCCCGCCTTCCGGATCACATCCCAGCATCCCAACTCCTCACAAGAGCCAACCAGGAAGAGATCTTGGCCTCAGTGCGGCATGCGAACAGGCCTGCGGTTTCAAGCGCGACGCGTCGACAGGCCGCTGGTGAGCTCAAGAGGTGTGTTCCTTCCCGCGTCGGATGGGAGAGACTCGCCTAATCCCTTTCAGTCCCTTTTCTACGGCAGAATAGACAAAAAGGGATGGTTCTTTATCTCTAGGAGTTAATCTGCTGGGTCATGAATCTCTATGTGAGAGCGAGCAAGTAAAAGGTGAGTGAGAGAGATGGGGTGAACGATAACCTCCATCCCTTTTCATCGCTTCACCTTCGCTCACAGATTGGGAGAGGGGGTCCCTTTGCGCTCGCCTGTCTCCCTTGACTGTGTTAAGAACTTGTCCAAGAGCGAGTCAAAGATCAGGAAACGAAGAGGCGCGAAGCGATGGCTCTCTCCCCCCTAGCACACTTTCCGCGCTTTTAACCAAAACGCCACGGGCCTCCTTTCGGAAAATGCGCAAAAGTGGGAAAGAAACAAACCTGTCCATCAACGGGATCGTCGCATTCCCATAGGGCCGCAGCCGAAGGAGGTGCTGTAAGGCACCATGAAGGTGTGGAATGCTCCTGGCACAGCAAAACTCTTCTGAGAACCCCTGACTTCAGAAGCCCCGGAGTGATCCGAAAGATACGAACACGGAATCTGACGGCCATGCGGAAAATCCTCCAAGGGCTCTACTATTAGGTGTAGATGCAGCCCCAACAAAACCTGGCCTCCACTCCACTCGCCGGCATTGGCTTGCAGCTCTTTTGGTTCTTTGACATCTTTGGCGTCTTTGGCTTCTTTGGCTTCTTGGGCTTCTTTCGCTACTTTGCTGCACATCTCCTTCTCTCGTCTGATTGCTTCGTCCCAGGCCCTTTCCTGCATGCGAAGGATTGTGAACCCTGCTCCTGTTCACCCTGGATCCAACCCACTTGCTTATGTTTACCATGGATAAACAAACAGTTCACGTGAAGGCGTCGCCGAGAAGAACATCAAAAAAGATCCCCCTCTAAAAGGAGACACCCCTATTGGTCAACAAGGGTCCGATCACTGGGCTCTTGCTTCACAAGCCAACGACTGGCTTCGAGTCCAACATGCCGCCAGGCCGCGTACATGTTCACTTGCCTGGCCAAGGCAAGCGGCCGCGCAAAGAAAAGTTCCCACACCAGCCCTCACCATCGGGTTGGGAGTTCGCGGACTGGGCATGCGCACGGACGGTTGCCACATTTTGGTGAGACATCCGGCCGCAATTTCATGTCACCCTCAGCCATCTGAATAGCCCAGGTGGTTCGAAAACATGGTTCATGCCACTAAAGGCGCAAAGGGCTTCACACCAATCCTGTGCAACACATGAAGTCGGTCAAATCAAACGCTCTGAATAGGAGTGCTTGCCTATCCCATGCCTAATCTGCACCCCGTTCTGCATAAAAGTCATGATTGGATCCGACGACGCCAGCCTCTTGTGCATGACCTCAGCATACTTCTCCTTGTAAGATCTCTGCTTGGCCGCCAGCTTGTGACCTGCAGAGAAACGGGAAGCGCGGCGAGCGAAGCCAAACTCCTCTGGGCCAAATTCTCAAATCGGGTCAGCCGAGGAAAAACAAAGTGAGAAATGCCCAAATGAAACAAATGTAGGTGAGACACGGCAAGCCCTCCAGCGAGAAGCCGCTTTGGACAGGCGTTGGGTTTCGCGCTAAGAAGGCGTGTTGCATCAATGGGGCCTTTTGGCACCCGATGGAAAAGTGCCCCAAGATTTGAATTGTGAGATAAATGAAGCCTCCAGGTCCCTACTCAAGCGCGGAGCGCTTTTTGTCTTCGCAAGCCTAGGCTCAAGGTGTACAGGCGTTTCAACTTCACAGCCTGAACACCCAGTTCAATACCCATCTGAGTTGGGGCAGGTTTGTGATCTTTCAAAACTTCCAGTGCAACCAAGGACTCCAAGGACATGCTGAGCCCTTCTTTCACTCGGTTCACCGGAAGCGTGGAAGGTCGCGAGCATCGACCCTTCCAAACTGGTGTCATGGTTCCGTCTTGAAGGTCCACAAAAGAGAGTCCAATTCACTTCTGCAACCAATATGGGTATGGGTTAAAAACCAAACGAAACTGCAGAACGCAGCCCGTGTTTCCATTTACCCGGGTACCGATTTTTCCAGCACTGCTACATACCAATCCCCAGGCCCTTGACCCTTGCCTGGGCTGCATTCTGGCGGCCCCGCCATGCAAATGGAAAAGCGCGTAGCAGGAGAACCGGAAGAGAACCCCACAGGAACGTTTGGCAAAATCTCACACCCAGCTCTGAGTGAAACCAAGCGTTGCTAAAGTGGAATCGTTGCAACCACCGACGTGTCGCAGCGGTCCTACAAAAGCCTGAAGCAGGGCGCACGCACACATTCCGTTGAGTTCAGCCTTGTTGCAGCAAAGTGATGGCCTTGGTTTGGGCAAAGATCAAGGCTGAACGTCAAGTCCCAAAAAATCGGATCATGCAGTGTGCAGTTTGCAGATGTCGTGTCCAATGTTTGCAGATTCCACAAGGTTCAGGCCTGTTGCATTGCTCCTAGCTTGAACCCAAACAACCCTCCAAATCAACGAGCCCCGCAAACCCAAAGGCGCACACTGTTTTTTCACGGGTTGTTTAAGTGGCACTGCCTCCAGAGCACGCGGTGCACCTGGAGCAGGAGGTATCATTGTCCCCCCCTTAAGTGTTTCCAAGCAACCCCGGAAAAAGCTGGGATAGCTGAGCAGCCGACCATACACCCCCCCTTCAGAGCGGGGTTGTTCCTGCCAGGGTGAATAGCACATCACACCGGTTAAAAGGTCCCGCGCACTGCTCCTAGCCTCAAATCACTAGAAACCCAGAACCCAAAAGCCGACTGCAAGGCGCACACCTTTTTGACCGGGTTGCTTGGGAAGGTGGCACTTTTCGAGGGCACTGCGGTGCACCTAGGACAAGGGGCGAGATGTTCCCCTCCTTCAGTGCTTCCCAACGCAACCCCGGAGCAAAGGCGATTGAGGCCAAGGCGCAAAGTCCCCCTCTTCAGTGCGGGGTTGCACCTGCGGCGAAACGAAGCACCGGAAGAAACAATGCGAAGGCATTGCTTATACCGCAGTGCATGGGTTCCTCACCAGTCTATTTTCTAATGTATGGAGTTTGGTCTCAAACTCGGCAAGCGCGGCCAGGTTGTCTGGCCACGGAAGCGCGCGTGTAGGGCGCGGCTCGAGTGCACGCGGCTTGTCAGGCGCTGTTATTCGGAGGGCAAAGGCGCGTAGCGGCAAGAGGCGACCCTTGCTAGCTCTGAAATATGCAAGGGCATGTTGCGCCACGTGTTACAAGTGCCCAGTAGCTGCGGCCAGATATTCTGGGCGCCAGGGCGCTTCTGTGGGGCACAGCGTGATGCCTCTACCTGCCAGTGCAAGGCTGGCAGGGCTGAAGCGCACGCGATCCGCAGGGCGGTGTGCGAAGCGCTCAAGGCGATTTCTGCTCAAATCATCCGCCCATTCATTTGTTTTTCTCCATTTTTTTTTCTCCATTGCAGACCTGCACCCTCTTGTGATGCATGCCCAATCCATGTCGCCTAATTGACAAAGACTGTCACGGTGACATCGAATCACCCAGAACCCAGACAAACAGACCACAAAACGTCGAGAGATCCAAATCACTCAAAGCGGTGCCTTCGGCACCAATTCTCAACTGCCACTTTCTTAGCAGCACATCGTAATGGCTCATGCACAAATTGGACCAAATCACTTAACGCGGCGCCTTCGGCACCAATTCTTAAATGCCATTTTCTTCGCAGCACATTGTAACGGCTCATGCACGAATTGCCTTTCCAAGCTAATCCAAGGTGTCACATCGGAAGTATCAGGCATCGTTTTGAAACTTTTGACGTCTCTAGCTTGCGATGCTTTGTGTCTTTTGACTATTTCTACAAGAATTGGTCCACTCTGCATTTGCGGCCTCATAGCGAGCCCTACATTTGCTTCATAGCCAAAAGCACTACCCAAGGATTGCGCACGCTTTATTTCCTCACATGGCCACAAGGGATGATCAAGAATGATCTTCAAGTCATTAAGCGCAAGTCTGAAGGCAGCCAATGTGTGTTTAAACTCTGGCCTTGGTACGATGCTTGGCCTGCCGGTCCGGTCCCAATCGTAGATTGGCTCAAAGCTGTTTCCTCCATGGCTCCAAGGGACCTGAGCTCCTGTGGCCAATGTAAAATCTAGCCACAGTTCAAAATAGGTCACATCTGACTTGCTGTCTTCTGGATTTGCCTGCGGCCATTTGAGTGTACTTACCCACTTCTGTAAAAAGTACATATACTCGCATCCCCAGAAAAGATACTGTTCTCGGTCTTGTGGGATTACTGGCACTTGCCACTCCATGCAATTTTCTAGTTCTACTTGTAGGGCGATTTTAGCAGCAGTCAGTGAAATTTGCATTCCTCGTCTCGTCGAAGTAATTGCTTGGTCTCTTTCTGCCGCACTGGGTCTACATTGCAACCAGCTTTTTGTGGCTTGCGCCACGCATGCACAAGCGAGTATGCATTTTCTGGGTGTCAAGAAAATTTCGGTGCAGTTGAACGATCTGAAGTTCTTGCGCATTTTCAAGCTTCTGTCGTGCCTCCTTGGCCGCATGGTCGGCCAAAGCATTACCCATGGCGTGGTATCTGTCCAAATCATGGCGGATGTCATGTATGTCTTGGTGTGCACAAATTTTGTGAATTTGTATGTCCAACGGAGTTTCCTGGCATCGACAGCACAAGCGAACCAAAATGTCCATGTTTTTGGAATCGAAGTACTTACGTGCATCCGGTTGCTCCAGCACCTGTTGGAATTTAGACACAGCATATTGAGAGTCACTGTAAACTTCCGCACATTGTACACCTTCGGCAATTATGAGTAAAGCAAGCAGCTCAGCTCGGCTTATGGTTTGTTTACCTGGCACATGTCCACTCTGGCACACTTGAAAGCTGTTGGGTAGCACAAAGTCATTTTTATGCCATTCTTGCATGAAATGTACTCGACTTTCATTCAAGTGGCATTTATCGGCAACGATGGCCCAAGCTGCATGTCTTTCAAGATGTCCTGCACTAACAGTGCAAGACCCGTCCGTGTAAAAAACGTGCCTGTCTCCAGGTGGCAATTGTAGATTGGTGATCGGCCATTCCATGGCCTGCCTGAGTTTATCTAATCGTCCCTGGTACGGGCTGGCAGGCATGCACGGAAATTGCATAAGGGATTTCTGCTCCCTTGACAGAGTGGAGTACCATTCCTTCCACAGCTCCCTGACATCTGCTGTTGCCTCACATTCATGCAGAATGTGGTTCATGGTTGCCTCGGCTTGCGGGCATTTGTGACACTTGAGGTGCGAATCCTCACACCAATGTTTCATCATGTCGGTGCTTGCAAAAGCTCCAGTCAAAGTATTACGCATACTAGCCTGTTCATGCGCTGGCAATGATAAATGGATTTTGGCTGCGTTTTCTACATCACAGCTATCCACTTGATGCCACTGCTTTCTCTGGAGAATTTGGCACATTATGAAATCGTCCCATGTTTCCTGCAACAAGTCTGGCAAGTCTTTACTGCTCACGGTTTTAAGGCAAATTTTTAGGTCATCAGAAGTCGTAAATGCGCAGTTCGGCTGCAGTGTCCACGACATTTCGACTGCAATGCGTACCAGGGTTGCTACTGGGCCTGCTTGCATTCGTTTCCGATTGCCTGAGACTCTACCTTGAAAGCTGACTGCCTCATTCCATACTTGTTCTACAAGGTTCTCGTCTGATAGCAGCATTCGTTTAAAGAGCCGGAGTGTACGCAGAATAACATGATAAAGTGGGTCTAGGGGTTGCGTTGAAAGAAGGCTTGAAGCCAAGTATGCGTTTGTTTTGGCTCTGGGTCCAACCATAGCCCTGGCAATACAACGCCTAAGGTCCATCAATTTCACGTTAGACGGGTACAACACTTCGCACCCGTATAGGGCAACTGTAAGTGCCGCACTTTTGACTGCTCTGGCCGTGTTATGCGTGTTGAGGGGTAACGCGAACATAGCTCTGGTGCGCCTTTGTGCTTCCAGGAATCTTTGAGGTTGGTTCCCAGGGCACCGTTTAGCCGTGTAATTGACTACCGCTCCCAAGTCAATGGCTGAGTCGACGACAGCAACATCGGTCGGTAAGATGCCTTTGCTGATCAAACATTTGAGGAATGCCTGCCATGATTTCTTCCCTTTGGCATTGGTAGCCCACGTCCAGCTTTTCCCAAAAGAAATTTCTTGTTTCCACGCTTGCTGGAATGCAAGGTTGCTGATGAACTGGGCTGACATGTCTCCGAAGGCTGTCGAAATGAGTTCCAAATTGTCTGCATAACAGAGTGGTGTGGTTGCAATGGAGGTGTGACACTCCACGCATCCCCTTCCGGGATTCCAGTTGTGGATTTAAATGGCCCCGCCGTGCGCCACGCGCACTTGAGGTAATGGTCGCATCCGTGAAGAGCTCTCCGCCACATGTGCACGAGTTGTGGTGGAATTCCACTTTTTTCTAATAGAACAAGGAGTGGGTATCTAGGTATGAGATTGTAACACTTACGCAAATCCTGAATAAAACCCCACATTGGCTCCTTTCGCCTCACAGCAAGATCACACTTTGCTTGTATGGTCCACCACACGTGTTCACATGACTTGCCTGGCACAGCTCCTGACACATAAGGCTCCTAGCCATTTTTGCATCACTTGTGCCGCAACTACTTTACCCCATAGCCTAGTAATAGGACGTGTTTGTGTGGGATCTACGTCTCCTTGGACTTTTGCTAAAAATACTGTTCTTGCCGACAGGAGAACTCGAGGCCACTCAGCTCCTTCCGCAATTTGTTGTATTAAATTTGTGAAGTCCTCCAGTGCATCATTAGGCACTTGTTGCAATTCTGGATTGGAGAAGCCACAAAGTCCTTTGGCCGTCGTATTCTTGGTTTTGGCAATAGCATGCCGCCAAGCCGGCACCGAAGTAGCATCAACGCCAAAGGTTTGCACTTCACTTGCGTTGTGATGGATGTAGTTCAAAGCAGAGTCCCAGTCATCTGCCTCCCGCTGCTCTGCATCGGTATCGCGTGTCCACAGAGGTTGCCACACTGCTTTGACACGCTCCATGATTTGATGCGAATCTACAATCCAGATGTCTTGCGAGAGTATGACTCGTGCTGGACACTGATCTGGCAAAGCATCCACGGTCACTGTGTCATCATGGACATCAAGAACTCTGGTATTATGCCGCTCACGCTGA